GTTAAAAATCAAGATTGAAGGTTGCAAAAAAAATTAAATAATGAAATTAACAAGAAAGGTAAACCAGGATATGAAGGTTTTTTTTTAGCTAGAATCACAAAATTTGAGAGAATTGCATAAAACAGCATTGTGGATGTTTGTACTCAAATAACTACCTTTCACAGATCTCTAGCTTATTACAGTTTCAAGGCAGGAAGTACTGCAGATAAAAGATATTAAAGAGTTACAATGTATGAGCAATATTCTGTCGGGAACATGTTCTCTGTATATCAAGTTTGCAGGTTCACTTGATATATACACAGATAACCCGCACATAAAAGAGAGAAGCTTATGATGACGTTTCGATCCGACTTGGACCATTTACAAAGTCACACTGTGACTTTGTAAATGGTCCCTGAATCCCTTCACAAAATGTCACCTTGCTTGTACTCCAACAGCATGTCAAGTCCTTAAATGGTCCAAGTCGGACCGAAACGTCGTCGTAAGTTTCTCTCTTTTATGTGCGGGTTATTTGTGTATCTTTCCAGTCACGGTATTGTGCCTTTTTTTTGTTATTCACTTGATATGCATTGTCTTTTATACTTGATTACATATTCAGAATGCTGTACAAGTGACTAGGAAGTTAGTAATGCATTTATTTTCTCAGTGTATTTTTTTTTTTTTGTAGAGCTTCTGTACTTATTGAGGATAATGGAGTATTGTAACTATATTTTTTATAATTTAATATTACCAGAAAGCACTGGAGCTATTTACAGTTTGAAAACAAGTCTTTCAACAGGAAAACTCTGGGTGTGGAATTATTTACTGCCGCACAAGAGATGCAACAACAGAACTGGCCAACCAGCTGTCCAAGAAAGGTATTCCTACCAAGGCTTACCATGCAGGTAATTTTTGTCTACTTTGCCCATTTCCCATCTCCAGGACTCCAGTACAGTGCCTGCACTCTGAAGGAGGGGTGTTAATGTTGCAGTTTAAAAACTGTAGTGTAAAGCACCCTTCTGGCAAGACAGTGATGGAGTGAATGATGGTGAAAGTTTTTCTTTTTCGGGCCACCCTGCCTTGGTGGGAATCGGCCAGTGTGATAATAATAATAATTTACCCATTACATACAAGGTACTAATAGGTGCGATGACAAGACTGCTGTAATTTGAGCTTTGTATACTCTGGTAAATTTAATTCCAGAAAAAACTGGTTAGCTGGACTTGAGCCCTGGAGTTGGGAGGGTCAGTGCCTGCACTTTGAAGTATGGGTGGGGATAATTGCAATTTGGAGGGGTATCTGAGCTATAGTATTGGTGTGACTCTGGCAATACAGTGATAGTGAATGATGGTGAATTTTTTTCTTTTTTTGGGTCTCCTTGCCTCGGTGGGAGATGGCCAGCTTGTTAAAAAATAAATTGATTGATATACAGGTGTTACAGATGATTTTTATTTCTCCTGTACAGTTTTCTTTATCCAGTAATATCTGATATGATTGTGAGCCATGAAGCCTTCAAGAGGGAAGGCAATTGCTTAATGCTGGTGACAGGCTTTTGATTCAAGGAATTAAATTAAATAATGATTACAACTCCCATTTCCTAGGTACTGTGTGACCTCTGTGGGTTTAGCACTTCCCATTAAATATAATAATGTGAACTGGGGTAATCAGAGAATTACAGATTGCTACCTTATGTTTGGTTGATAAATTAGACACATGTGCAACACTTGGGTATCTTTATTGATGAAATGTTTTCTCACACAGTGGCTTCATCAGTCTGATACAAAGAAGAGTGGTGACCAGAAGGATTATATCGACTCTAAACTGAGGGACCAATTACCTCAAACTCCTTCTGATCTTCAGTACTCTTCTTTGTATTAGACTGATGAAGCTATATATGTCTTAATTTGTCAACTTGTTGGTTCTCTGAACCATTTATCTACATTATGTTTGGTATTACTATACTGTATGGAAGAATTTCTTAATTTAGTTGGTGGACAATCATTTTGTATTTCATTATTCTCGCAGGTTTGAAGAACCGAGAGCGAGCTGAAGTACAAGAAGAATGGATGGATGGGAAAGTGCCTATCATTACAGCAACTGTATCTTTTGGTATGGGAGTTGACAAAGCTTCAGTCAGGTTAGCCACAAGTTGCAAACTATTCTCATCTCACAGTAAATAATTAAGAAGTTAATTTTTGTAGATGAATGGTTCAGAGAGACATGTACAACACTTGGGTATCTATATTGAGGAAACGTTTTGTCACACAGTGGCTTCATCAGTCCATACAAAGGAGAATAGTGAAGAACAGGTGTTTGAGGTAATCAGTCCCTCAGCCTTGAGTCGATGTAGTCAGTCCATCAGTCTTGAAAAGAATGATGGAATAATGGACTGACTACATCGACTCAAGGCTGAGGGACTGATTACCTCAAACACCTCCTGAGCTTCACCATTCTCCTTTGTATGGACTGATGAAGCCACTGTGTGACAAAACATTTCCTCAGTATAGATACCCAAGTGTTGCACATGTGTCTAATTTATCAAGTTGATTTTTATTTAAAAGAGTATAGTATATAATAATGGTTGGAAAGGATTTTAGTGAAATTTTAGAGAAAACATGAATTATAAAAAATATGTTCTCATTGTACATTGTTAATTTTTTATGCTGTATTTGTATTATCTGCAAAATAAAGAAATAATTTCCTTAAAAGAGCACATTTCAAAGCTTAATATGCAATGCAATGACAGGTTTGTAGCTCATTGGAGTGTCCCTCAGTCTATGGCAGGATATTACCAAGAGTCTGGTCGAGCTGGACGTGATGGAAAACCTTCCAGGTGTAGAATATACTACAGCAAAAAAGAAAGGGATACTGTGTCATTCCTCTTGAGACAAGTAAGATACCTTTTCTTTTAAACACACCGGCCATCTCCTACCGAGGTAGGTGGGAGGTGTGCCACTACTGCAGTTCAGATGCCACTCTAGACTGCAAATATCCCCCCCCCATCCCTTAGAGTACAGGCACTGTACATCCCACCTCCAAGACTCAAGTCCAGCTTGCTGAACTCCCTGAATCCCTTCACAAAATGTCACCTTGCTTGCACTCCAACAGCATGTCAAGTCCTTAAAATCATTTGCCTCCACTTCTGTCTAACATGCTTATACACACCTGCTGGATGTCCAAGCCCCTCACACACAACCTCTTTTACCGTCTCCATCCAATCTTTTGTAGGGTGGTCCCTACCCTGCCTCTCCTCCATTACAAATTTATACACTCTCCAAGTCATCCTATTTTGCTACATTCTCTCTGAATGTCGTAACCACCTCAACAATCCCTCCTCCGCTTTCTGGATAATACTTTTAGTAACCCCACACCTCCTAATCTCTAAGCTACTAATTCTCTGCATAATATTTACACCACACATTGCCCTCAGACATGACATCTTCATTGCCACCAGCTCCCTCCTTGCTGCAACATTCACAACCCATATTTCATACCCATGTAAGAATGTTGATAAAACTACACTTTCATACATTCCCCTTTTTGTCTCCATGGATAATGTTCTTTCTCCACAGTGCCTCAGTGAAGGAACTCCTCAGTGCACCACTCACCTATTTCCCCTCATCAGTTTTATAGTTCACCTCATCTTTCATATACCCATCCACTGACATTTCCACTCTCAAGTATCTGAATGCATTCACTTCTTTCATACTCCCTTCTTTCAATCTGATATCCAGTCTTTCATCACCATAATTGTTTGTACCCCTCATTCATAAGAAACATCTGTTCATTTATTGAGTAAAATATACGTACTGCATATTATGTACTTTTTCATTTTTTCTGTTTAGCCCTCTTGGCCGTAATCCAAGGCAAGATTATATAATATTCATTTTTCTGTGAACTTTCAGAGATCACTTCTTACTGATGATACTTTATCATAGGGCAAGTGCAAGTCACTTTTTAATGGTACTTTTGCCTTATTCACTTGATAATGAAGGCACCTTATTCACATAAATGTCTTTTATCTTCCATTCATTATACAGTGGACCCCCGCTTAACGATCAGCTCCCAATGCGACCAGTTATGTAAGTGTATTTATGTAAGTGCGTTTGTACGTGTATGTTTGGGGGTCTGAAATGGACTAATCTAATTCACAATATTCCTTATGGGAACAAATTCGTTCAGTAATGGCACCTGAACATACTACTGGAATGAAATAATATCGTTAACTGGGGGTCCACTGTATTTAGTAATTTTAGTTTTTTCCACTTGTGCTCCATTGAAGCTGAGATGGCACAGGCCATGAAAATGTTTGCGGTGTCCTTGTTAAAAAATTAGTAAATACATGAATTACTTTTTTTTGTATTTACTAAATGCCAAATATACTTTGTGATGTATATGATGTCATGTTGCTGGTGAAAGGTTCGTGAAACTCCCCTCAGGAAAAGAGAATTATCCTCCCTTTCCTCAGATCAAACCTGGTTACCTCTACCTCTGCCATTCCTCAAGTGTTGTAAGACACATACAGGTTTAGTGTTTCCTTATGAATGTGCTAATTTGAGATGTGGGTGGGTGAAAATCTAGGATGCCGTTCTGAACGTGGTCTCATCGTAATGTGTGTTTAGGACGAGTTGAAGGCTAAGAAATCTGGCAAGCCCAAAAAGGAGGAGCAGGCCAAGACTGCAATAAAAAGCTTCGAGACAGTTGTCAAGTTTTGTGAAGCTCCACTGTAAGTACCCTCTTTGTATTTGACACTTGTGTATATTATACTTTGTGTATATTGTTTATTTACCTATTTACCACACAACAGGTGTGTGGTAGATCATGCCACAATTGTTTTCATTATTTAACATTATTACATTATAGAATTTTTATTTGCTTATTTGGTTTTCTCAGGACTTGAAGAAATGAATTTAGTAGAAGTAAAGAGATAATTTTGGAGATGATCAGTCCCTCAATCTTGATAGAAGGTTGGTCAGTTCTTTAGTTTGGTCAATACCTTCTATGGTAGGTTCTTTAGTTTGGTCAATACCTTCTATGAAAGGCTGAGGGACTGATCACTTTAAAATTATCTCTTCACTTCTACTGTTTCCAGTGTTATAATTGCTTGTTTTTGACTGAAGATGCCTCCTGTACAAACAAATTGTTGCAACAGATTCCAGAGTGTTGCACATGTCTTACTTGTTGACATTGTATACCATTTTAATATGAAATTTGTATACAGGGATGTTTAAATGTTATTGACTTATAAGAATATAAATTGTAATGGTGTTGTATGTAAGTGATATGCATAAAAGTTAAATAACCTTGTAATAGAAACTTATATATACAATATCCTGTTTGTGATTTTAATATTGTATAACTTTACTGTGGTGCATTAATCTACTGTCATTGGGGTATTTAAGTCATCTGAAAATGGGCCTAACTTAGATCAGCCAGTTAACTTTGCAGTGTCTTACTAAATCACTTAAAATGCATACGTATGATCTATATTCCACCATGTGAAATGCGACCTCTTTTTTGGTAGCTGCCGACACCATTCCTTTGCTCTGTACTTCGGTGATGATAAACCAGATTGTAAGAAGCACTGTGATTACTGCACCAATCCTCAGTTAACACAGAAAAAAGTAGTCGAATGGAATGATTCACTGGTGCGTAAAACTAGCTACAGATTTCAAGCAGCAGCTGCATTTGAGGACGGTTATGAAGACCCTGACTTGTATGGTGGAGGAAGAAGAGGGTTGAAAAGGTAAGATAAATAACATAACCAATGTTAACTATGTAAACACACATGCAAGACATAGTTATTCTTATTGACAAGATGCTTTACCTACGCATTAGACTTTGTCAGACAAATATGAAGGTGCTTGCAATATTGGAGACACTAGAAGAAGTAGAGAAGCAATTTTGAGGTGATCAGTCCCTCAGCTTAAATAGGTGGCCAGTTAGACTTAAGAGTTAAATTAAATGGCAGTTACTGCAGATCTTTCTTCTTCTTTCTTTCAACACACTGGCCGTATCCCACCGAGGCGGGGTGGCCCAAAAGGAAAAACGAAAGTTTCTCCTTTTACATTTAGTAATATATACAGGAGAAGGGGTTACTAGCCCCTTGCTCCTGGCATTTTAGTTGCCTCTTACAACACGCATGGCGTTACGGAGGAAGAATTCTGTTCCACTTCCCCATGGAGGTAAGAGGAAATAAACAAGAACAAGAACTAGTAAGAAAATAGAAGAAAACCCAGAGGGGTGTGTATATATATGCTTGTATATGTATGTGTAGTGTGACCTAAGTGTAATGTATGAAGATTAGCAAGAACGATACCTAGAAAATTGCTGTTTATAGACAGAAAAATGGACATCAGCAATACTACCATTCATGTAAATAATTACAGGTTTCGTATTAATAAACATTGGCAGGACGAGTATTCCCTCCTGGGGTTTCTGTCTACCACCTACTCCTACTAGTTACTGCAGATATAAATAATAATTATTGACAGTATATGTAGATGCACACATGTTTGTGTTTTACATGGTATTTTACATTGCTTACCAAAGTATAAATTAAAAGCACTGTTATTTGAGACACTATAATATAAATACATATAATATGAACAAAACAAACAACTTTATTTCTTTGTGTAGTATACAATGTGTAGTTTACTTTTAATAAAATATTGTTAAGCACAAAGATAGCCACTAACATGCATATGTATTTCAGGCAGACTAGAAATGGGCAGCATAATTACTCAATGGTGTAGTTCAGGCCAAGGCTTTGTAAAGGCCTTACTCACTCTGTAATTAAAATTATATGACTTTAGATGTTTAATGTTTTTCAGGTGTCTTGTGGAGGCCACTTGTAACTATTTGATAGTTTTTTTAATTAAGATAAGGTGTTGCACTGTATGTTCCAGAGAGCAAGAAGACTAGGATCAACAAGTGAGCTATTTTTTTTTGTTTTAACACTGTCCATCTCCCACCAAGGCAAGGTTACCTGTATAAAGAAGAAATGCTTTTGTTTCTTCTTTTTACATTTAGTAATTTGTACAGGAGAAGGGGTTACTAGCCCTTTGCTTGTGGCATTTTAGTTGCCTCTTACGACACGTCTCATGTAGGAAACTTATGATGACATTTCGGTCCAACTTGGACCATTAACTAGTTATACAATAACACTAATGTATAATATTGTGTTGTTCAGAGAACAAAATGATTATGATCAGACTGGAGACAGGGGAGACAGGGGTCAAGCGGCTGAGCAAGAAGCTAAGAAGCAGCGGACAGCTTTCATAAAGCAACAGTTAGCTCTTCGCCGTGGTAAAGCACCTTCCACATCTTCCTCCTCTTACAGCAAACGTCAGAAAGAACAGAAAGAAAAAGAAAAGTTAGAAAAAGAAGAGAATGAACGAGCTCAGCGATCAAAACTCACAAATGCAGAATTTTCATCAAAGATCGCAGGGCTTAACGTTTCGGTAAGCTGGATTATGTCCGTCTCTCTTTTCTAAATTGAATATACAGTGGACCCCCGGTTAACGATATTTTTTCACTCCAGAAGTATGTTCAGGTGCCAGTACTGACCGAATTTATTCCCATAAGGAATATTGTGAAGTAGATTAGTTCATTTCAGACCCCCAAACATACACGTACAAACGCACTTACATAAATACACTTACATAATTGGTCGCATTCGGAGGTGATCGTTATGCGGGGGTCCACTGTACTTGATATATATGTAGATATTACAATATTACAATCTGGATAATTAAAGCTTCAACTAGCTTGTTAATTACGATATTATTCTTAGCAGATCATCCAAACTGTAATGAGAATATTTGTCCGGGAGTACAAAAATACACAAAATATTTTTAATCTTTACTAGTAAATTATAAAATAAGAGCATTATAAACAACAAACATTATAGACGACAAAGTGTATTGTTTGGTTTCATTATCACATTAAAATATCAGATACACGACTAGAATTATCATGTTACCATATCATAAACACGACAAGAATTATCACATTACAAAGCACCGTATCACAAACATGACTATCCGTTACTGACATTACATTACTACAATTTCACCCGTGTCACAACTGACATGTAATTGACTACAATGTTACAGACACGCCTGTGTCAACTACGACACACGACACCTTTATAACAGTGTCACACGATACCTTTCTCAGCGTTATAACACCATCTTAACTGTGTCCACATGACACCCTTGTCCCCGTGTAAATCTACACACCTTCGCTACCATGTCCACATGACACCCTTGTCCCCGTGTAAATCTACACACCTTCGCTACCATGTCCACATGACACCCTTGTCACCGTGTAAATCTACACACCTTCGCTACCATGTCCACATGACACCCTTGTCCCCGTGTAAATCTACACACCTTCGCTACCATGTCCACATGACACCCTTGTCACCGTGTAAATCTACACACCTTCGCTACCATGTTCCACATGACACCCTTTGTCCCCGTGTAAATCTACACACTTGCTACCATGTCCACATGACACCTTGTCACGTGTACATCTGCACACCTTTGCTACCGTGTTACTGACACCCTTACTCGTGTAAATCTACACTTTTCGCTACCGTGCTACATGACACCCTTATCTCGTGTAAATCAACTCTTTCGCTACCGGTCCACAAGACACCCTTATCTCCGCATTATAACACAACGTGTACACAAGACAACTTGCAGTGTCTGTCACCAACACCGTTGTGGAGGCCAGCTGACTAAGTCCAGTCACTGCCATCAGAAAACTGTCCAATCATAGTCAAAGGAACTAAGTTATTCGATGCCATCAGAACGAAGTCAGTCGTTCCCAGCAGCAAACTAAGTCAGTCATTGCATCAGAACTAGTCCAAGTTCCAGCAGGAAACATTCGTTGTCAGCAGGAGACGTTATCAGCAAAGTCAAGCTGTGAAGCCGTGCTAAACTCACTAGGTATGAGGTCTTCACTCTCAGTGCTGTGCAGAACACACTATGTTGTGAGTGCACCGAATGCGGCCGTCAGATAATTCTGAGGCCGTCAGACTCAGTGAGCTGTAGTGAACACACTGTATGAGGCCATCAGGTAACTGAGGCTGTCAGACTCAGTGAGCAGTAGTGGACACACTATGTGAGGTTGGTTCATCAGCCTCGACATAAAGTGCGATGACGTTACACTGGGTACTCCTGTCTGGCAGCAGCGCCGAAGTGCTCAATCAACCACTTCCACAATTGTCTCTTTCCTGCGTTTGTAACAGTAGAGCATGCAGAACAAGCTACATGGGAGGGAAATGTTTAGCTATAGATCTTTCACACTCGTGTGTCATCAGGAGTTATGCAGTGTTGCAAGACAGCAATAGATAGGAGGGGAAATTATCTGAGGAATGGCAGAAGGTATCAATGGCAGCCCATGACACAGCATGCTGTGTCATGGGCTCCCATTGATACCTTCTGTCTTGCCTCAGAGAATTTTCCCTCCTATTTGTTGCTATCTTGCAACATTGCATAGCTCCTGACGATGCACAAGAGTGTGAAAGATCTAGAGCTAAAGATTTCCCTCCCATGTTATGCATTGTTAAGATTGTCTGTTTGTGATTGTACTGAACATACAGATCATATTTATCAGTAGACTAAAACACTTGGCAGAATTTGAGACTTTGGACTCCATAAGATTTTTCTACTTATAGTGATAAAAATAAATTAATTTCAGATTGATTTTTGAGCGGTTGAGATAATAATAATTGTTTTCAAATGTAATACTGTAGAGTATAGAAGACATTCCAAAGTATACACTGAATATTTAAATAACGTATCTTACCGTTCACAACATCTCAGCCACTGTATACTAAGTCAGCACATGTCTTTTGGAATATGCTAATATGCCATTTGTATTTTTTTGTTTGGCACTGGAATGATCATCTAATGATCATTTGTATACTAAAATTTTCATGTGCTGCGTAAGAATAGTGTTCATGTGTTTTTTTTTTTCCTTCAGACGAGAGAGAGTTACCTTCAGATGGTGTTTCAAGCACTTGTTAAGAACTATGAAGCGTGTGGTGACTCGAGTCCAGTTTTGAACAGATTAAAAGAATCCGATATTGAAGATGTTGCGGTGAAGCTGGAGTACAGCATCTTCACCTCCACCAATGTCTTAATGATGTATCGTAAAGGCATGATGTCACTGGTTTGTGGCCTTATATTTCTCATGTATGGAATTACTCTTGCATACTTTTGGCTCAAGATATTACTTATTATACTTTTTTCAGACTTTATATCAGTTTAAATACTAATTATCTAGCATCAGGTCAAACTATGAAAGACAGGAAAACATTGACACTGATCACAGGTATGTACAGTGTATGTAATAGCATAGTTTCTTTGTTTACCTTTTTGTTGTTTATACAGTATATTTTTATGTTGCAGTGTCACATAAAATAATATATAAGCATTTTATTTAATATGTAAACAGTGTGATGGGTCCCAGAATGTACATACAGTATCAGTTAAGAACATATTATTTACCCTTTATAATTTTTTTGTGTGCATCCTTACTACTTCTGTGATCAGTTAGCACACTTGAATAATTGGTGTATAATTACCTTAGAATTTGTTATACAGTAATTTGTCTCACTCCACAATATTACATTTCAGATGATGGGCATCAGGAAAGACACAAGTTCATTAATTTTGCGTTGTGAGTTGGCTGAACACGAGCCAAAGCTGAGTCTTGGCCAGTTAGCTAAGCAGATTGAAAATGACATCAAGAACCGGAAAGCTGCGAGCCTGGGATTCAAAACTGCAAGTCAGGTGATGGAGGAGAAATGTAAAGTGAAGAAGAAAGAGCCATCGAGTTTAAGCACCAGACGTGGTTTTGCTCTCAAGCGTTCGCCAAACCATCAAACCTCCCTGAGTTCCTATTTTATTAAGAGTGGCAAACCTAAGAACAGTAATAAAGTTGATCATCAGCTATCAGACAGTGAATCAGATGGGGAAGAGGGTGGAAATGAAGCCAAAGGAGAAATAAAGAACAATGAGGATAATGAACTAGATGTAATGGCCACAGAAGATGGTGTATCTGATGCTGGCAGTAACTATGATCCCGAGGAAAATCAAGAATTTGATTTGGAGGAAGTGTCTTGGTCTGATTTAGAGTGTGATAGTTATGAAGATAAAGATGACAAAGATAGTGATAATCACTGTGAGAATAAAGCAGCAGACTCAGGTGAATTGCCTCTTGTTAAAACAGTTGCTGAATGTGATAATAAATGTGATAGTAGTGATAGTGAACATTCAATCATAGAATCTAAAACTGTATCCTCCTCAAAAGAAAATGATAGGAAGAGAAAAATGAATTTTGAAAATGAGAGACATGAAAATTCTGCCAAGAATATGTGTCATGGGATGAGTTTGGCATCTGAAATATGCAGTAGTAATGCTGAAGAAAATTATGTTAATGTGTCGGAAGATAAAGCAGGTTCTGTTGATATAGGGGATGTGCACGAATATCCAAGGAATTTTTCTGCAGTTAAAGAGAATCAGAGCACAGGATGTATGTTTGGGGAAAGTGATAATGTTAGTGTGTTTTCTCGAGAAAAAGTAAAATGTGAGATAAGGGAACCAGTGTGTAAAGACAGCCAATCAACACACACAGCAAAATTATCGTTTGATTCCTCCAGTGATATTCCACCTTCTGGATCTTCGCTCTCCTGTATTGCTGCTGTCAGATTGAGTTTAGAAAGAAAGGAATGGAGGCCAACCATTGAAAAATCTGAAAATAGATCAAAAAGCAAGAAATGTAAATTAAGTAAAAATGTAAAGATGATTGATTTATTTGGTGATACATGTGAAATGAATGAAATTGAACCTTCTAATCAGGACACTAAGGAAGGTTGCACGGGGGCTAAAAATGTGGCTATACCTTACGTACAGGGGGAGAAAGATAAAGGCAAATATGTTCTGGACAACTGGCAGAGTAATTGTGTTAACTATGACAAAAGCTCTGAAAGGAAAGAGAAAAGTGAAGGGAAGCTCAAACATAGTGATAATAGTTACCACATGGAGTTCAGTGACACAGTTAATGATAGACCTACCAAAAAAGACAAGCACAATGAGCATAACAGACAAAACAGAGGAAAACACAAATCAGAGGATAGCTCAAAAGAAAATGAAAAAAAGCACAAAGAAAGAGAAGAAAGAATTTGTACTGACAGTAAAGGTTCAGTCAGTTCTCCAAGTAAGCAAAAACAGACTGAGTGTGTTAATAAGAGTATGAATAAAGATAGATTATTGGAGGAAGGTTCAAGAAAGAATGATGGATTATATGAGAAAAAAGAGAAGTCAGGTAGTTCTAAGAGACATTTAGAGAGGTCAGGAAGCAGCTCAGAGAAACACAACAAGGAGTCTGACAAGCAAAGACATTCCAAAAATATTCAGAGTGGTTCAGAGAAATTAGAAATGCATTCAGAAAAATTAGAGGGACATGCAGAGAAACCTACTGTGGATTCAGAAAAATCAGAATGGAATTTAGATAAACCTAGAAGAGATTCAGAAAAATCAAGGAGAGATTTGGAGAGGTGTGAGAAGGAGTCTGTAAAACTAAGAAAAGATAAAGAAAGAAACTGTGAGAGATCACATAAGATCTCAAAGGAACCATGGATGGAGTCAGATAAATACATGAAGCAAAATGAGGATAAGATTTATAAGGAAAGAAAAATGAGTGAAGACAATGAGAGAAGGAGAGTCAGTAAGATGGAAAATCTGTTTACAGAGGATTACAGAAGCTCCATCCACCAAACAGTAGAAAAACAAAAAATTACTGATATATCTAATATGCCACAAAGTACTCTAAGAATGACAAATAAATCACTCAATTTACCATCTTCCAAAAATGACTCTGAATCCAAAACCTCTTCGAGATCACTACCATCACCCAACACAAAGGAAGCACCATCGCTTGCAGACAGAAAGCAGATAGCTGACTGGGTAGTCAAACATCTCATGCCACATTACAAGAATAATAACATAAGTGGGAAGGACCTTTTTAAGTCACTGGCAAGGCAGATATCGCACAATGTTGCACAGTTGGAGCTTGGCAGAGGTAAGTCAAGATAACTTTTTTTTATCTCGCTGGCTGTATCCCACCAAGGCAGGGTGACCTAAAAGGAAAAAAAGTTTCTTTTTATATATAGTAATTTATACAGTATAAGGAATTACTACCCCCCCCCCTTTTCTGGCATTTTAATCCCCTCTTATGATATGCATGGCTTAAGGAGGAAGCATTCTTTTCCACTTCCCTATGGAGAAAGTCAAGCTAATGTTGCTTTAAAATCAGTTTTTAATGTATCATTACTTTGTACTGCTTAGCCATGTGCTACAGTGCTGTTACCTGTGATACTACTGAGTGGGGAAGGTATTTTGAAAGTGAAGGTAACCCTGGGAATACATTTAACTTTTTATTTCAGTCTTTTCTATCATGACCAAGTACCTTCCCTACCCAGGCTAAGAAATTTGGGCAATGACAGAGTCTCATAAAAACTAAACTATTTTGAACAGCATTACAATCCACCTTATTGTGTCCCCTTGATCTCCATTAAAGCCCAAGAAGTTTCCCTTTGTTTTTCTCTCTTTACTATTCTTAACACTGATTGATTCTTTCTCAGTTCATATTTTAAAATCCCTACATTCTTAAAATCCCTGTGTTCTGTCTGTTTTTTCCTCTAATCCAGGGGTTCTTACCTGGGGTATCCATACCCCTTGGAGGGGGTATAGAAATCAAATAATGGGGAGATGGACTCCATCTCTGAACTGTTTTAAAAAAAGTTGTTAGATTAGAACAAACCTTCAGCTGTTCTGTTGCTAGCTGTCCATATAAAAATTTGACATCTTTTGAAGTCAGTAGGACTGGTGCTGGTAGTGATTATTATTTCACAGTCTGGCAAAGGGGGTATGGGGACACATGGGGAAATTCATTGGGGTAAAAAAGGTTAAGAACCCCTACAGTTTAATCCTTCCCTGCAATCTAATCCTTCCCTGCAGTCTAATCCTTAATGGCAATCTAATCTAATCCTTCCTTGCAGTCTAATCTTTCCCTACAGTCTAATCCTTCCCTGTAATCTAATCCTTCCCTGCAGTCTAATCCTTCCCTGCAATCTAATCCTTCCCTGCAGTCTAATCTTTCCCTGCAGTCTAATCCTTTCCTGCAATTTAATCCCTCCCAAGTGCTCTTTTTTCTCAATTTCATTCATACTGATGAATTAGCCATGTACATGTGCACACACAGATGACTCCAAGAGTACTCATGCCTTCAAAATTTGCACATACTCTTAATTTTTTCTTTTGATTTTTACAGATGAAGATGCAGCCGAGCAGTACATCAAAAGCTTTTTCAAGCGAGTCAAAAAAGTCACGTGTGAGGCAGATATTGTTTTCTACTGACAGACAGAGCATGTTGCTCGACCTGTTACATCTGACATTACCTGTGTTATGTGAAAAACAATAAATTCTGTTTTAAAGAGAGGTTTATTGGGGTGGTGGCACTGTATATGGTCCACTGGAGCCACACTATCATAATGTCATTGTGTACAAGTATATCTTGAGTTCCTACATGAGCCACACCATCATTATATCATTGTGTACAAGTAACACTGTAATCTCAACTCAAGCATCTCAACTACAGCTCTTCGTGTATACATTACTCAGCGCTTGACACTTTCTGTAATATAAATTTGGCCTTTTTATTGATATTTTTTCAACTTTGTTGTGTTCTTTTCTCTATATAGAGTTAATAAGACATTTGTTACATTGGACATATTGAGATAAACCTTTATTTGTTAATTTTCATAGGAAATAAATAATTTTGATGTAATTTTTATCTTTAACATGAACATGAAGGTATAAAGGTAGCAATATGTATAATTTATATATATATGATCAGCCTCTTGTATGCAGTTTGTTTTTTGTCAAGACTTGGGCCAACATATTTAAATTCACATTTCTGCTATTCTTTGAATCTAGGGTAATCTAATTTTTGGAAAATTTACACGGGTTTTTAAAAAAAAACCTGAGAATTTTTCAACTTAAAAAGAACACATTTCCCCGGGTTTTAAATCCCCCGTTTTTTTAAAAAAGGGAAATTTTGAAAAAAAATTTTAAAAAGGTAACTAATTTACCCCCCGTTTTTTCTCCCTAACGGGTTTCCCAGGGGTCAAACCAAGCTCCCCAGTCCCCCCAAAAAATTTGACATACCCCTATTCTTTTTTTATCATAAGTTTTTAAAACCCAGTACACAAAATTTATTCCCTTAAATATTTTTGAAAAAGTCCATTTTCAGACCCCAAAAAACAAACTTTAAAAGATTTTACATTTAAAAACCCCCCACTTTCAAATGTCATTTGGGTACGTTTTAAATTCCCCCACACCAAATTCAAGGTTAATAACACTTAATCTAAACTGAAATTTAAAAACTGCCCCTTGGAAATTTTACTCATTGAAAAACTTTTTAATATGATTTGCCTTTTTAGGAAAACGGCTTTTTAAAGGAAAAAGAAGTTACTGGAACTAAAAGTACCCATTAACTTGAATATAAATTTTTGTTTTTTTTCTAAGTATAATCAAATTTTATTATTAAGACCCCTTTATGGGGGTTTTTTTTCAGATTAAAATAAACCTTTTTCCTTATTGAATCTAATTTTCCCCTTTTTCCCAAATGTTATAAATTTTTCCCTTTTGGGTAAAACCCCTTTTTGAAAAAAATAATTATTTGTATTTTCTACATACAGTTTGTTTTTACCCCAACTACCAAATAATTTTAAAGGATAAAATTGACTTTACCCCTTTAACATTTAAAAAAGATTTAATAAAACTGGTTTTTAAGGATGTTTTTATTAAAAATTTTAAAAAAGGATTTAAAACCCCCATTACAAATTTGAATCAAGGAAAGAAGGGGGGGGTTCATTTCAATTTGATTGGGGAAATTACAAAAATTTCCCTATTGGGTCCTCCAATTTTTCTAAAACACTATTGAAAAATTTTTTCTTAATTTCTGGATTTGGGTGCACTTAAGATTAAAAAGCTTATTCAAAGTTTTGAAAAGGATCATTAAAAACACTTTTTTCCAAAAGGAGTTTTCCTTTCCCCTTTAAACCCTCCAAATCTAAACATTAAGGAACATCAAAAATTTATTTGTTTTTAATAAAAACCGTTTGCGTTTAAAAACACAATTTTAAAACATTTGGTTTTATCGGGCTTAAAGGCCTTTTCCTTTTTTATCTTTTGCCCTTAAAGTTTTCTTGTAACATAAAAGGTATTGTTAAAAAAATAAATTTACATTAAAATTAAAAAATTTGTAAATTTAAAAAAAATTTTTTTTTAAAAGGGAGGGAAGGTTCCCCAAACTTCCTTCCAAAACTAAAAAAAATTCAAATACTGGTAAAAAAGTCCTTAAAAAACCCTTAACGTAACCTTTTAACCAATACATACCTGGATGAATGGTTTAAAACTCAAAATTTTAATAAAAAACCATATGGTATTCCTTAATCCCCATTTTGCCCACAGTGGGCTTCCCAGCCCCAAACAAAAAATTTTTAAAAAAAGAAATAAACCTTTCAAGTTAAAAATAATTTTAATATAATTTTTGGAAAAAGGGGAATTCCCAACTATATACGAACTTAACATACTAAAATTCTTACTTACAACAGTACCTGACAAACTACAGTACGACTTACTACAGACCTTAATAAGTCGAAACTACAATGATATACACATTCGCACTTTTTAAAAAAAAACTAAAAACCCTTCAATTATACACAGATCCCAAATCGTACGCCTTACCTCGTAAAATTATAACAATACTTAAAAAATATCCCCACAGAAACTCACTAACTACAGTACCTTCACATACTACATACTCACTATACTACAGTACCTCACATACTACAGTACTCACTATACTACAACCTGCACTATACTACAAAACCTCACTATACTACGACCGCCATACACAACTGCACTAACTAAGACGCACATACACAGTACCTCACTAAACACAGTACTCACAAATACTACGAACTGCACTATACTACAGTTCGCACAAAACTACAGACGCACTTTTTAAACAAAACAGTACTGCACTATACTACAGAACCTGCACTATACACAGACCTCACTAAACTACATTTTCCTGCACAACACAGTATCTGCACATACACAGACCTTCACTATACTACAAAACCTGCACAACTACATACCCTGCACTATAAAAGTACCTGCCTATACACAGTATCCACTATACTACAGAAACTGCACTATACTACAAAAACCTGCACTATACTACATACCTGCACTATACTACTTTACTGCATATATACAGAAACGCCTATACTACAGTACTGCATATACACAGTCCCTCCACTATATACAGTACCTAAACTTACTACAGAAACTCACTAAATACAATACCCACTATCTACAGTACCTCACTTTTTAAACAGCCCGCACTATCCCAAAACCTGCACTATACTACATACGCTATACTACAGTACCTGCCTAAAAACAGTACCTCCCAAAACTACAACCTGCACTATACTAAGTACCTCACATACACAGACCTCACTATACTACAGACGCATTACAAGTACCTCACTATACAACAGCTGCACTATACTACAGTACCTCCACTATACCAGCCCACTATACTACAGTACCTCACTATACTACTTCCTGCACTATACACAGTCCTGCACTATACTCAGTACCTGCACAAAACTACAGTACCTGCACTATACACAACCTCACTATACACATACCGGCACATACACAGTCCCTGCACATACTACAGTATTTCACTAACTACAGACCTCACTATACACATACCTGCACTATATAAAATTTAAAAACACTATACTACCAGTACTGCACAACTACATACCTACATACACGAAATCACTATACTACAGTACTGCCATACTACAAAACTGCACAAAAAAACAAGTCCTTTCACTATACTACATACCTCAAAACTACAGTCCCCTCACTATACTACAGTCCCTGACTAACAAAAACTCACTATACTACAGACTCACTAACAACCCCTCACTATACACATATCGCCTATCTACAGATCTGCACTATACTACGTACCTACTATACTACAGTTCCCCACTATACTACTTTCCCCGCACTATACTACAGACTGCACTATATACACCCCCCTCACTATACTACAGTACTCACAAATACAGTATCTGCACTATCTACAGAAACGACTTTTAAAAACCCCACATACCTTTTTCCACAATACTACAGTCCCCAAACTATACTCAGTACTGCACTATACTACAGTATCGCACTATACAACAGTCCCCCACATACACATACTGCACTTTAAATACCCCCCAAGTATTTTCACATACTACATACCTCCTATACTACAGTACCACTATACTACAGTACTGCACATACTACGTACGCATATATCAGTACCTGCACATACTCAGTACCTGCACTATACTACAGTACTCACATACAACTATCTGCACTATACTACAGTACCGCACTATACAAGTACCTGCCTATATACAACCTCACTATATACAGTACTCACTAACTACGAAACCCACTATACTACATTTCCTGCACTATACTACATTTCGCACTATACAAGTACCCTGCACATACTCAGTACCCGCACTAAAACTACAGTACCTTCCCTAACTAGAAATTTACCTTTCCACTATACTACAGTAACCTTTATAACTACATACCTCACTTACTAATTTTCCCCTTTCCAGTACCTCATACCAGATCACTATACAAAAATACCTCACATACAAACCACATACAAAAAAACAGACTGCACTATACTACAGTACCTCACTATACTACAGTACCTGCACTTACTACAGTACCCCACTATACTACATTACCTCACATACACAGTACCGCACTATACTACATACCTGCCATACTACGTACCTCACTATACACATTTCCTGCACATCACAGTACCTCCCCTTTAACTCAGACCTGCACTTAACACAGTATCCACTATACTACTACCGCACTATACTACATACCTGCACTATTACAGACCTGCATATACCAGTACCTGCACTATCACAGTACCTCACTATACACAGAACCCGCACATACAAACATATCTGCACTAAAATACAGTACCTGCACATACACAGTACCGCACATACACAGACCTCACATACTACAACCTGCACTATACTACATACCTGCCTATACTACAGACTGCACTAAAACTACAGAAACCTGACATACTCAGTACCCATACTACAGTACCTCACTTACTACAGATCGCACTAATACAGAGACCTACCGCAATACTAAAATTACCTCACATACACAGTACGCACTAAACACAGTCCCCTGAACTATACTACATACCTCACTAACTACAGTATCGCACTATACTACTACCTGCCTAATACGATAAACCCCCCTTTACCCTATACTACAGTACCTCACTATACTACGTAAAAACCTCATTTCTAAAAACTACAGACTGCACTAAAACTACAGTACCCACTAACTACGTACTCACTATACAACATCTGCACCCCTCTAAACTATAAATTTAAAACAATATCCCACAAAAAAGACCACAAAACCAGTACTGCACTTATACAGACGCACTATACAAGTATCTCACTATGCACGTTCTGCACTAACTACAGTACCTGAAAACCCTTTCTGCCATAAAACGCACATACTACATACTGCACTAACTACAGTATCGCACTATACAACAGTCCGGGCACATACTACAGTACCTCCTAACCAGTACCACCCACTTACCAGTCCCTGCAAACTACAGTACTGCACTATACTACAGTATCTGCACATACTACAGTCCTCACTATACTCAGTACCGCACTATACTACAGTCCCTCATATAAAAAAACCCCAAAAACACAGAAACTCACTATACTACAGTACTGCACTATACACAGTATCTCACTATACTACATCCCTGCCATACTCAGTTTTGCACTT